AAAAAAAACAATGGGGCATCTATCCTTTTAAAGCTAATATTACCTACAAAGGTTCATGAACTCTACGCCTTTGGATCAAAATATCAAATCATAACTCGTAATATGATTCTAATTAAAACTCAATAATTCAAATACTTACAATTTGTAGTAACCCTGGTTAAAAACTTTGACATGTTGATTTGGTTTAATGGAATAAGTTGCTCTGCTACAACTAACACCAAGATTAAATATAGCTGAAAATTCAACCTGACTATACCACTGTCCCAGATACTGAAATATTATTAAATTTACCAATCAATAGAAATTATCATATTACCACTTATTCAAAATTTTAGAGGGTCCTCACACCAAAGCAATCAGCAGTTGCGTATATTAGGAAAAAGGATAGCGGTCCCAAGTTTCGAAGGCAAATCTCATGCAACTCTTATGACCGCTATTCTTCGGAACTCATGGCCACTTTCATAATTCGCAACCAAACTGGTAATCGTTATATGGTTCGCGAGTACTTTTATAATGGAATAGATGACTTCAACATTAAAGTAGAATAGATGGCTTAAACTTTAACAAAGACTACACGACTCCAACGTTAAAGTAGAATAGATAACTTAAACTTTAAAGTAGAATAGATAATTTAAACTTTAAAGTAGAATAGATAACTTAGACTTTAAAGTAGACTACATGACTTCAACTTTAAAGTAGACTACATGACTTCAACTTTAAAGTAGACTACATGACTTCAACTTTAAAGTAGACTACATGACTTCAACTTCAACAAAGACTACATGACTTCAACTTTAACAAAGACTACATGACTTCAACTTTAAAGTAGACTACATGACTTCAACTTCAACAAAGACTACATGACTTCAACTTTAACAAAGACTACATGACTTCAACTTTAACAAAGACTACATGACTTCAACTTTAACAAAGACTACATGACTTCAACTTTAAAGTAGACTACATGACTTCAACTTCAACAAAGACTACATGACTTCAACTTTAACAAAGACTACATGACTTCAACTTTAAAGTAGAATAAATTATATAACTTAAACTTTAAAGTAGACTACATGACTTCAACTTCAACAAAGACTACAAGACTTCAACTTTAACAAAGACTACATGATTTCAACTTTAACAAAGACTACATGACTTCAACTTCAACAAAGACTACATGATTTCAACTTTAACAAAGACTACATGACTTCAACTTTAACAAAGACTACATGACTTCAACTTTAACAAAGACTATATGACTTCAACTTTAACAAAGACTACATGACTTCAACTTTAACAAAGACTACATGACTTCAACTTTAACAAAGACTACATGACTTCAACTTCAACAAAGACTACAAGACTTCAACTTTAACAAAGACTATATGATTTCAACTTTAACAAAGACTACATGACTTCAACTTCAACAAAGACTACATGATTTCAACTTTAACAAAGACTACATGACTTCAACTTTAACAAAGACTAAATGACTTCAATTTTAACAAAGACTACATGACTTCAACTTCAACAAAGACTACATGATTTCAACTTTTACAAAGACTACATGACTTCAACTTTAAAGTAGAATAAATTATATAACTTAAACTTTAAAGTAGACTACATGACTTCAACTTCAACAAAGACTACAAGACTTCAACTTTAACAAAGACTACATGACTTCAACTTTAAAGTAGAATAGATGACTTCAACTTTAACAAAGACTACATGACTTCAACTTTAAAGTAGAATAGATGACTTCAACTTTAAAGTATAGACTAGATGACTTAAAATAGAATAGATCTCTTATTCCTTCAAATCTCTCATCTTTGATCTGGCGAAATATTCTTCTTTAACGAACGTCCAGTCGAATTCAAATCCAAAAAGTATTTTATTTGTTGAATATTTTAATTGCACGTGGAAACATCCACAGAAATACTTAAAACAAAACACATAATACTGTATTTTGATCAGATTAAAAATGGTTCCTTACTTGATTTAACTGAAAGTTGGACTGTGTTGGTGGCGTGGCACATGGTCCCACTCCCATTCTTCCTTCTGTAATCTGAACATATCCTATTAGTGATAGAAATAAACTCATTGAAACTTTGAAAGAAGCCATCATGAGTTACTTCCAATTATACTGAATAGCAAATGAAATTATAGTTGAAGAAATAAGACGAATTAAGAAAGTACTTCAATTGATATCCTGTTATCAACAACTTATCTGGTCATTAACTTATAAGAGACGTATTTCATGTACTAGACAAATAGAGCTATTTACGATGTTGCGATAAATTAAATGAATGAATTTTATTTTGTATCATTTGACTTTGATTTTATTTGCATTTAATTTTTAAATTAACAAATAAAAAAAAACATTTTATAGAGAATTGAAACAAAGACACAAAAATTATGAATAAAGGAATGAATTCATATCGAATACAAGGAAATGAAATAATGAAATGAAATTAAATAGAATACTAACATTGAAATAAATAAATTGATAAATTAATATAATAAATGATAAAATAATACGGAATAAAAAAAACATGAAATTAAATGAAAAAAAATTGGTAGGGTACTTTAGGTAAGACGATTGGTTAAAGTTCATGGTCATTAAGTGTCGCGTCATTCTTAATATCTGTGAGGAAGGATTTCAAGTATAATGAACCCTAAAGATAAGAAAATAATTAAGATATAACATCCTGTAATACTGATTACTTTCTCTTAAGAACTGGGTCTAGTACTAACTTACATTCCCAACTTAGATCACAAACTTCAACATGTCTATCTTACCGAGTTTGATTCTGTCTGTTCTGTTCCAAAGTGTTTCAGGAAGATATGGAACTGGATCTTGTGCTAATCCACCAACACAATCAGGATTTCAACTCTCTAGGGTAATAAAATAAACGTGATTGGGACAGCCAGTAGTATTTATTGATAACCTTTCGTTTAATTTTCTTAATTAAATTTTAATCTAATTTTATTTGTTTATTTTGTAAAGTTAGTTTAAAATTAATGTCTCGTTTAATAAATTCAAGGTGACATTGACTTAGTAATAATATTTATTACACCCGATTCTAGAATATTAGACAGTGTAGCATAGGGGTAAAGGCCGAAAAGAGTATGAGCAAAGATAACCGTTTAAAACTTTGATTTTTTGGTTGATAAAGCTGAATTCAAGAATAATATCCGTATAGTACTATTTAGAATGAAACTCTAACATCTGGTCCGTCAGCAATTGACAAAGTAAAAAGTTATATAACGACAGTCTTAATTTAATGGTTATGGATATATTTATTTTCAGTTTTTAGGACAATGGTATGGTCAGCTGGAATATTCCGCTGTATTTAACATGGGAGTAAGTTGCAGTAGAACTTTATATACCATGAAACCAAATGGATATTTAAAACTGTTTAATCAAGGATATTATAGATTGTAAGTTTAAACTATCATTTTCAATTACCGGAATCCCCTTTTCTTTATTAAAATCCTGAAACTGATAAGTCTACAAGTGGAATTAATTTTACAGATTATTCATGCCATTGTCAGAGATTCTGGGTGATCGTTATTCAATTTAACTGGCATATCAAATGACAATAATAGAGTACCCAAAACTAGCTCCTTAACAGGAATGCTCTGGTCATGCTCGTGTTAATTTGTTATTTTCATTAAGCAGTGTAAATCAAATCGTTAAAAATTTTTCAGAATTGGTTCAGGTGTTGAAGTAGAAGGTGATGCTTACACACAAAATACTGATCCAGCAACTTTAATTGTCTCATTTTTCAAACGTAAGTTTAATAATTAATCATTTTCTATTGAAAGACAACCTTCATCTTTTCTTACCTACTTTTAACAACATTTCTAGGAAATTTATTCTCATCACCTTAACACAATTTTTCTCTTTTTTTTACCAAATTTTAGTTTTACCATCAGCGCCGTATAAGGTTGTTGAAACAGATTATGAAAACTATTCAGTTATTTACTCATGTTCAAAATTTGGCTTTGTGAAATCAGGTAAGTCATTGTCAAGTAAGCTTACCTACTACCAGAAGGAGAGAAACTTAAGTCGAAGTCTTCAAGCCGACAATATTATCACAAGACAGACGTGAAATATGTATTCCATCGTCAGTCTAGAGTAATCCAGATGGAATAGTAAGGGCCTTCTAACTATAGAATAGCCTGTGTGTACCCACCAAGGTAGCATCATTTTATCAGTGTGAATATTTGGATATATATATATATATTTACACTCTAATTCAAGCTCCATACCATAATAGATAGATTCTACATACGAGCGTTCAGACAGTCGGGGTAGGGGGGGAGCTGGCTGTAGGGTGACTGTCTGGCGGAAATAATGAAAAGAACCTTAAGGGCTGTTGTCTGTTGGCATTGAATTAAACAATAGAATTGGTCCAATCCAATAAAATGCATTCATTTATTTTAGATCATTAACTTGAAGGGCCTTACTTAAGGCAAACTTATTGAGCCTAATCTATATAGATAAAAAAAAACATGGAAATGGTGCAAATATCAAAGATACTCTAATTCATTTCAAATATATATGCCATGGATAAAATTAAACAATGTATTTTTATTGAAATTATTATCTTCTTTACAGAATTGGCGTGGATATTAACTAGAACTCCAGAAGGTTTAGAAGCTAGTGAACTCAATAGACTATACAGAAGATTGAGATCCTATGGTATCAATACAGATCATTTTGATACCATTACTCAAACAGATTGTCCTATCTAATACATCATGTTGTATTCTAGTATGATCCAATGGTATCAATACAGATCATTATGATACCATTACTCAAACAGATTGTCCTATCTAATACGTCATGTTGTATTGATATGATCCAATAGTATCAATACAGATCATTTTGATACCATTACTCAAACAGATTGTCCTATCTAATACGTCATGTTGTATTAGTATGATCCAATGGTATCAATACAGATCATTTTGATACCATTACCCAAACTGATTGTCCTATCTAATACGTCATGTTGTATTAGTATGATCCAATGGTATCAATACAGATCATTTTGATACCATTACTCAAACAGATTGTCCTATCTAATACGTCATGTTGTATTATAGTATGATCCAATCGTATCAATACAGATCATTTTGATACCATTACTCAAACTGATTGTCCTATCTAATACGCCATGTTGTATTAGTATGATCCAATGGTATCAATACAGATCATTATGATACCATTACTCAAACTGATTGTCCTATCTAATACGTCATGTTGTATTAGTATGATCCAATGGTATCAATACAGATCATTTTGATACCATTACTCAAACAGATTGTCCTATCTAATACGTCATGTGGTATTATAGTATGATCCAATCGTATCAATACAGATCATTTTGATACCATTACTCAAACTGATTGTCCTATCTAATACGCCATGTTGTATTAGTATGATACAATGGTATCAATACAGATCATTTTGATACCATTACTCAAACAGATTGTCCTATCTAATACGTCATGTTGTATTATAGTATGATCCAATCGTATCAATACAGATCATTTTGATACCATTACTCAAACTGATTGTCCTATCTAATACGTCATGTTGTATTAGTATGATCCAATGGCATCAATACAGATCATTTTGATTGACTGATTGTCCTATTTTAAACATCACGCTGTATGTATTATATAACGGAAAATAAAACTAACTTGTAAACCATGTTTCCGTCAATTTTGTCAAACTAGGTTGTAATGCCATGCTTCAGATTGAACACGATATCATATGACTTAATGGGACAGGTGCGCCGTTTTTTGTTGTTTTTTTCGGGGGCTGGGGGATTTGAGTCTTAAATTTGTATTACTAGAAATGTACGAAAAGTCTTTTCTATATATGGCAGAGTCTCAAGACAATACGGCTGTCTTTTTAATTTTCAAACGGGGATAATTGTTGAAACTCGCGGATTTGAAGGCTCAAATTTCGACGGTGCGCTGCAAACATTACTGATTGGCTTAGCTAAAAAAAAATCCGTTTTTGAGACTATGATTGATAAAAAAAAAACGGGGCAATTGTTTGTTTAAATGCAGTTTTCAATATGAAACGAAGAGGTTTGGATTTTTGGTACAGGTTTTCTCTGCTTAATTAATAGTGTCCATTGTACTGTAGCATAGGCCCTATGCTTATGTCTACAACTAAATCTCTGAAAAATTTGAAGTTAATACGGAGAGAATATTTTTTGACAAGCTTATAAAAGTCATTTTCGTTGCCATTATAAGATTATTGGATATACAAATGTATTATGCTTTACATATTTTGCAATATCAGAAAGGAGTAAAATGTTAAGCCATATTCAATAGCCTATAGGCTACGTTTCTATTGTCCCAGGCTATAAATCGCATGGGAAAGAAGATTTGTAAACCTTTGAGATTGCTTCGTCAGGTTGTTACGAGCTGTGAGACTTTGCATTGGGGGAAATGGCAATATATTTTTCGAATCCATTTTTAAAAATTATAACATTGAAAGAGATAATGCATATTTTCATAAAAAAAAGTACTCTTTTGCCATTTTAAGGGATGGGGCCGCAGTATGCAAGTCGGAATTGAGCCTTGTGGTTTAGGTGGGACAATTAATCCGGATATGGTTGCAGGCAGACTGTGCTCTTTATCCGTCGATATTATTGTAATGCAAAAAATGTTGGTTCATGACCGCAAAATCTGTCTCTATTCCTGCCTTTGATAGCTATTTAATGGACAATTTAATGTCGGCTGGTGTAGAGACAGAAAAAAACGCGCAGGCCCTGTTAAATGGAGACAATTCTCATCACCGCAGGTGCGGAGGTTTTAAACCTTTTTAGTTATCTGCAAACCAAGATATATTTTGGAAAGGTGAATATTCCTTAGTTCAGTCATACCATCAGTTTCTCCCTACATATGTCACGTCTCTGGGTTTTTTTTTAACGAAACTATCTCGAATTGGCCTTTTAAAAATGCGTACGCAGCCAAGAGTTTAAAGGTCACAAAGTCACGTGGATACTAACTAAAAGAAAGAACTTTACCCGGTGATGACCAGCACTAATTTACAGTCATCATAAAGGTTTTTTAAATACTGGCAAAAACGTATCTCCTGGGGTGTGGAAAATCCCATTAAACGGGATTTATTTTCTACAACTGTCAAGATATCCATTAGAGGCTGGAATAGAGGCAGATATGTCGGACAAGTTCGTGACTTACAGACACTTTTGGTCATATTTATGATTTCGGGATAATTGGGTTTCAAGGGACATAACTGCAATTTATTAATTCCAAAAAAATGAACTATAAAAGATTAAAGAAATATCTTTTGAGCGATATTTCATAACTGTTTCAATAAAGTGAGCTTCTCAAAACGTTTAAGTATGGCAGTTTCAATGACGCGATCGATAGGTCCTAATTGAATCGACCGGCATATTAATGTATTGCCGGTTTATAGAATACTTGCCGGTTAACACGAAGCCAGTAACCATGGGCAAACTGTACACTTCTTAGGATTCCGTATGTATTAATAATTATTACTTCCAATGCAGGGTTGCAGTTAAATTTTCAACCTAGTCATGTTTTTTTTAAAAATCATAGCGCCTTCTTATTTATTAGAAGAGTTTCAATATGATTGTGCTGAAAATATTCCATGAAATGACCACGGTGCAAATTTTGTAGCCCGAGATGTCTGACAAAATTTGGTCTTATTTTACTGTCTTATTTGGACTGCTTTTTATCAATAATTTTTAAATATTTTAGAATGTCAACTCTAAAAAATGAAAGAGATATATTAGTTTTACAATATTATTACGAAATTAACAATTATATAAAAATGTGTTTCAGATAATAAGCTTAGGCTATTACTTCAAACCAAAAACATCCTTTAAAAAGTAAACCTGTGAACTAATTAACTAAATGACCATTATAAGAAAATTTATACAGAAATATTTACTTAGATTTGTTAAGATGGAGGCCAGCATTCCTGTTTCTGAGGTAGGTTGGTTTTAACTTCTTCAATCAATCTACGGTTAAAAGTGGCAGGTGTGCCATTTTGGGGAATTGATTTGAGTCTTGAATATCTCTAACTAGGAATTTCTTTTCCTATTTCTATAGATGTCATTTTTATGGCAGTGTCTTTTAAACTTTCAAACAAAGATAATTCTGGACATACATGGATTTGAAGGCTCAAATTTCGGCTGTGAGCTGTGAACACTATTACTGACTGGCTTAACTAAACAATTCCAGTTTCTGAGGTAAGATTGGTCAAAAAACTTGGCACATCAAGTTATTGTTATTGAAATAAGTTAAATCTATGACAGTTTATTTTAGTCTGTAGTAAGAAATCAAGTGATACATTTTTTTATGGGTTTGTTTTAATATTTCTATTTCTATATCTATTTCTATATGAAATTAAATATATATTAAAGAATAGAAATGATGTCCTGAATGATAAAAAACGTCAATCAACAACAGAGATTAAAACAGAAGATATAAAAAAGGCTAAGTTAGATCAAGATGTAAGTATTTTCTCATATTTCACTTTTGTTTTTTCACATGATAAATGATAGGAACATTCCAACTTTTCATTGCAGCCAGCAACATGAACATTATATTTTTCAATTCATGAATATCAAGTCTCTCTTAAGGAGCAGTCTGAGGATTAAAGACACTCTACGTATTTTAAAAAGCATCTATTTGGTGTTTTTCATTAAAGTCAGTGAGCCGTTACCTTTTCTATTTTGATGTCACCTTTAATTCAAATATTCCAGGCACCACCACCACCATTGTTAGGTAGGTTAGATAAAGGTAGAAAAGTGGCGTTATTATTAGCATATTGTGGTGCAGGATATTATGGTATACAAATACAGTAAGTTCAACTAATATATTATCTAAAAGTAGCGAAGACTATGTTTGAGAAGAAAATAAGGTTAAAACCGCTAATTTCGCAGAGTAGACAAATATCTGACTTTATCCAATAATTATCAGAAGTTAGACAAGAAATTTTTTAGAATACAATCTATAACTTGCCTGAAAATATTTCTAAAGTATGCTATTAATATCTATGTATTTTCTTAATCAGACTTATTTTGTTTTAAAAGGGATTATTAAAAACGGAGAGTACTAATTGTTATATATATATAGGCACAGCTTTATGGATTAACAATCACTGGCTAAAGTTTTATGTCACGTTTCGATGTGTTTCCACCGTTGAAACATTGCATAAAACTTTAAACAGTGATTGTTGTTCCATATAGCTGTACCTATATATTGTGCTTATAATTGTTAAATGCCATTTAAAGATTTTACTAATTGTCTATTAAGCAGTTTGAACTAGTTTTGGTGTTTGGCTTTATAATGGTTCGATATTATTAGTTGAAACCTTTAGAATACGTAGGAGACATTTCTCTCCGCACAGTAGTTTTCTTACAGCCTCCAAAAAGCATAACGAACTTAAAAAACCTCAAGATGTAATTCAGAATTTGTAGGAGACTAGGAGTAAAAGATTTTATAGTTGATAATTGCTAGTGAAAGTCTCATGACCATTAAAAAGTTATCTCAGTATTCCAGTCCTGTAGAATGATTACCTACAGATAAAGATTATTGACAAATACCTCAGAGCTGTTATCATTTTTTGTTTTGTTTTTTGTTTAGAAATATTTAATGTAATGTTTGATTATTTAGGAAAGATTACCCCACTATTGAATCAGAGTTATTAAGTGCTCTAGTAAAATGTAAATGTTTAACACAAGAACAGGCTGATACTCCTAATAAAGTAAGTGTTTTTTAAATGCATATAACGGATTATTTGTATTATACAGTATTTTACCGGAGAAAAGGCTTGCCTAACTTGAGGGGAACATAATAGACAAAAAAAAAATGTTATTGTTCAGCAGAAGGTGCTTAACTGTCTGCCATCTTGATCACTGATGTTGATTTTTTTTACTTGGGACAATTGTTTACAATGACAGAAATTTTATTCACTCAATTCAATTGTAAAGAGGGGTGTACATTGTACATTATTCATGTGCACTATATTGACAACTAATTAACATTATTGGCCATGTTCTCTCTCCTCGTTAGTTCCAGTGTAAGAGAAAAACTAAATTGTATGTTAAAGTGTCAACCCATTTCTAGTAAACTATTTAAATTTTAGATACAATTTCAAAGAGCAGCACGAACTGATAAAGGAGTGTCTGCTTTAGGCAATATTATATCTTTAAAGATAAGTATATTATATTTTCTATTTGACTATCTATTTGTGACACTGTCACAGAGAAAGGTACTAGGGTATGACACTGAACTTAATATACATGTAGCATATTTTTAATTGAAGCAATATTTTATAATTGATAACTTTCAATATTGTATTCTATCTCATGGTTAGTCTTTTGTTGTTAGTTTTGAAATAAAATTGGTTCAATAAAAAGTTATGATATTTGTGCATGAGCCACAGGAAGAAAACTCCTTGAATGATAAGTCATCAATATTGTGGAATAACATATTTTCTTATCTAAGATATATATTTGTATGATCTTGATTATGAATTGTTTATTTTGTTTATTTACATGTGTATTAATAGTGATGATGTTGTTGATGTCATAAATAAAGAATTACCAAACCAGATCAGAGTTTTAAGTATGTTTTTTGTTTTCTAGAATAGACATAGCTTGATTGTCTGGAATAGTGAAAGGGGGCGGTAGTTTAATTAAACAGCCAATTTCATGCTATGTGTAAATGATGATAACATCTTGACCGGAACATCAGCTCATATTGGGTGTAATTGTCTATTGCGTTTCTGTATGTTCTTTGATAAGCTGCTATGATCATTTCATTCTAATCATTCTAGGTTATATACGAACTACAAAAGGTTTTAATAGTAAGAATTTCTGTGATTCCAGAACTTATATGTATATGATACCTACATACGCTTTCACTCCTGTAAACCAGGTATGTTTATTGAGTGATAATTAATTCAATAATTAAATAATAAATAAATACTCATAGTGCCTGTATATTATTGTATTTATATCTGTGAAATGACACATCTTGCCTCATACTGTAAATTTTTTACTTTGTTAATATATAGCTTTATGGAACAACATTCACTGGTTAAAGTTTTATGCAACGTTGTTAATACTTAGACTTCGTTCCCTCCTTTGACAATATTCAAATTGTATAACTCTTGAATTTTTTTTGGTATTTTAGCCAAGTTAATGATGACTATAGAATCAGTGGTAAGTTTTATAGTTTTAATATTGGGGACCATCAGGAACATGGAGGATTGGGATCCTCTCTTTTTCAAATGTTTCCAATCTGAATAATCTAAGAAAGCTATGATTCATGCACTTGGACTTGTGACCTAGATAGGTCTTGCTGTGGTCTAGTTAGATCTATTGTTTGAGAAGGTAAACATTTTTTTGAATTCTTCCATTATCTTATGAGAATTGGAGTTGCAGCTTCAAAATATCACTGTTTAATAGTCTTATAGTGTCTTTGCGTTTATGAAAATATAAACAGGAGCACACATTTTGTCTTCAAAATCTATTTTTACAGGAGACAATTTTCAATCAATATTTGAGACTTTTTTAGAAGGGAAATATGTTTTTTTTTTATGTAAAAAACATATAGAAAGAAATCAAAAAACTTTTTACTTTGCTCAGTCAATAGTTGTAGTCAGTTTTCAGTAGTTTATTTAGTGCTTTCTCTTTTGTTTTAAGATGAGAATTTTACCCTGTTGAATACAGTACTATCTAAATATAAAGGAACTCATAATTTTCATAATTATACTTCTGGGATGTAAGTTAAATATAAGCTTTCTATCTTTATATTGGCATTAGGAGAGCTCAACAAGGTAAATCAAATAATTTCACCTTGGTTTCATATCTCCTTTAAATAATGTATTGAAAATCTAGAAACTTCTACCTTTTCATTGAATAGCATGAAAAAAGCTGATGTACGTCTGAAAAGTGATATGGACAGCTGAAATTAAGCACTTTCAGCTGGTAAAGGAATTATTTAGATGACTATGTTCCAAAACATGCATCATGCTGTCATATCACATGACTTACATATTATGTATGTTTCAACCAAGATGGGTTTAAGTTTATAACATGGGAAGAAATGAGAAAATGATTTTTTGAACTTTAAATTTTTTATTAAACTTCAATTTGTAATTTTTGGGATTTCATTGTATTTTTAAGTAAACCAACAGATGCAAGTGCTAATAGATTTATCATTAAGTTTGAGGTAAATATTTTAATTATTTCCGAATGGTCAGATATTGTTTATCTCCTGCTAATGAAGTTCAATTATTCTCCATCTTTGATATACACTGTATATTTTACTCTTCAGAATGTTATCTTCAAAATTCAATGATGTTTGTTACAGGCTGATAAACCAACTATTGAAGATGATATAGAATTTATAACATTAAAAGTTACAGGACAAAGTTTTATGTTACATCATATTAGAAAGATGGTTGGTAAGTGTTTATCAGATTCATTTCACAATTGAATCTTTTTATATAGAAACACCATAATCAAAACCATTGCTTACAATCACTGCTCAATAAATTAATTATATCTGATTTATCAGCTAACTGAACATAATTTATATGAGCTTTGATTCTAGGCCAGGGTTTATTATTCAGCTCTAACATTAAGTTTGTAATTGATAATTCATCTCTAACAGTATATATTAAATATATATTTCAGCTTTAACAATATATTGTAATTTATAATTCAGCTCTACTAATATGTTGTGATTTATATTTCAACTTTAACAATATATTGTAATTTATATTTCAGATCTATCAATATGTTGTGATTTATATTTAAACTTTAACAATATATTATAATTTATAATTCAGATCTACCAATATGTTGTGATTTATATTTCAGCTATAACGATATATTGTAATTTATAATTCAGTTCCACCAATATGTTGTGATTTATATTTCAACTTTAACAATATATTGTAATTTATAATTCAGCTCTACCAACATGTTGTAATTTATATTTCAACTTTAACAATATATTGTAATTTATAATTCAGCTCTACCAACATGTTGTAATTTATATTTCAGCTTTAACAATATGTTGTAATTTATATTTCAACTTTAACAATATATTGTAATTTATAATTCAGATCTACCAACATGTTGTAATTTATATTTCAGCTTTAACAATATATTGTAATTTATAATTCAGATCTACCAATATGTTGTGATTTATATTTCAACTTTAACAATATATTGTAATTTATAATTCAGCTCTACTAATATGTTGTGATTTATATTTCAGCTTTAACAATATATGGTAATTTATAATTCAGCCCTAACAATATGTTGTGATTTATATTTCAGCTTTAACAATATATTGTAATTTATAATTCAGCTCTACTAATATGTTGTGATTTATATTTCAGCTTTAACAATATGTTGTGATTTATATTTCAACTTTAACAATACATTGTAATTTATAATTCAGATCTACCAATATGTTGTGATTTATATTTCAGCTTTAACAATACACTGTAATTTATAATTCAGCTCCACCAATATGTTGTGATTTATATTTTAACTTTAACAATATATTGTAATTTATAATTCAGCTCTACCAACATGTTGTAATTTATATTTCAGCTTTAACAATATATTGTGATTTATAATTCAGCTCTACCAATATGTTGTGATTTATATTTCAGCTTTAAAAATTTATTGTAATTTAAATTTCAGCTTTAACATGTTGTAATTAATATTTCAGCTTTAACAATATATTGTAATTTATAATTCAGCCCTAACAATATGTTGTGATTTATATTTCAGCTTTAACAATATATTGTAATTTATAATTCAGCTCTACTAATATGTTGTGATTTATATTTCAACTTTAACAATATATTATAATTTATATTTCAGATCTACCAATATGTTGTGATTTATATTTCAACTTTAACAATATATTGTAATTTATAATTCAGCTCTACTAATATGTTGTGATTTATATTTCAGCTTTAACAATACATTGTAATTTATAATTCAGATCTACCAATATGTTGTGATTTATATTTCAACTTTAACAATATATTGTAATTTATAATTCAGCTCCACCAATATGTTGTAATTTATATTTCAGCTTTAACAATATATTGTAATTTATAATTCAGCTCTACCAATATGTTGTGATTTATATTTCAGCTTTAAAAATATATTGTAATTTAAATTTCAGCTTTAACATGTTGTAATTAATATTTCAGCTTTAACAATATATTGTAATTTATAATATAGCCCTAACAATATGTTGTGATTTATATTTCAGCTTTAACAATATATTGTAATTTATAATTCAGATCTACCAATATGTTGTGATTTATATTTCAGCTTTAACAATATATTGTAATTTATAATTCAGATCTACCTATATGTTATAATTTATATTTCAGCTTTAACAATATATTGTAATTTATATTTCAGCTTTAACAATATATTGTAATTTATAATTCAGATCTACCAATATGTTGTAATTTATATTTCAGCTTTAACAATATATTGTAATTTATATTTCAGCTTTAACAATATATTGTAATTTATATTTCAGCTTTAACAATATATTGTAATTTATAATTCAGATCTACCAATATGTTGTAATTTATATTTCAGCTTTAACAATATGTGTTGTTAAGGGTTTATGTGGGATAGAAACTATAGAAAAGTCATGGCTTCATGATAAGGTACAATCATTTTGTTCTTGCTTCCTTATGTGCAAAACTTGCTTCATAAAAGAAATAAGTATAAGGTTTTAGTATTATCATTTTTCACAAGATTTGTACAGATGTTTATAAACAGTGTGGGGGGCATAGACAGCCCTGATAAAAGATTTTTTGTTCTAAAATCCCAGAAATGTTGTGTTGCTAAGACAATGCTTTAAATGTTACATTGAACAGGGAGACATTAAATATTTCTGATTTGTTAATAAAAAAATTTGTGGGTAGATCCCTTGTAAACTTTCAATTGAAAGTTATACTTTTATATCTTTTTCAAAATATGTTGATAGATGGATGTACCAAGAGCACCAAGTGAAGGTTTATTTTTATGTCAGGTAATAACTCATTTTCAGTTTAAATCTCATTTGTTATAGTTGTTTTCAACATGACACATTCGGTGAATAATTCAGAGTTGAAATCCTTATTCATTTTTGTACGTTTAAATAACAAGAAAAGGATATAAGGAAAAGATGTTTATTTGCCAGATGCATTAGTATTTTGAATTATTTTGATTTTGTATAGACACATTATACTGGTTATAATAGAAGATATGGTACAGATGGTATACATGACCCTTTAGATTGGTCACATTGTCAGGTTAGTACAATATGATTGGGTGTATAATCTGCACTCTTTTACCATAAAAAGGGCTTGCCAAAGTGGCAATATACATTAAAGATTAGAGTTTGTTCCTAAAATAACGCCAAATAGTACTTTCAGATTGTGGTGGAAATCACATGGCAAAAGTAGCAGGAACATCTGTATCACAGGCTGTGAATGTTAAAAATATCTTGACACTAGACCAATCAGGAGCGAAACAAACGATCTTTCTTTCATTTAGATCATTTTAATCAGAGGTTTTATTAACATATTGGTAATATTGAAATTGCTCTCACCTAAGTGAAATAATGATGATTGTAATGATTTTGATATAGTTGTTTACAGTGTCATGGTTCAAAACATTAAAAAAACTTTTAATTATACATGGATAAGATTTGATATCAGATTTAAACTGAGTGCTTGAGCATTGCCATGTAACACAAAATAACTGTACATGTACAATGAAATGTTCTAACAAATCTTTTCAAGATACAATGTTTACATTGCAAACCACTATTGAACCAATCATGAAGAGCTCTTGATTGGTCACATTGACAATTTTGTTTACAGGAGTTAAATCTCACAATATAGTCAGACAACAACTGACTCAGTAACTGGCCTTTGGTTGAATATCTGATGATGTTCCTAACTTTCAAATGATTTTCAAGAATTGTTTTTTAACATTTCATAATATATTTTTCTTTTGCAATTTCAGTCTGAAACAGATGAATTCCTTAATACACATATTAAACCTTATATAGTGAAATCTGAGAAAAATGACAGAGTGTATCCTTTTACAATGTAGTCAATAATATTATATTAATATATCTCTGTAAATAGAATGTTATTTTAACAGTAGCAAGAAGTCTAGACAGTTAAAGATAGTGTTTTTTTGGATATGGGTTTAAGAATGGAAGAATGATTATTACTTCTTAGTAAAAGTTTGACTACAGTTCGCAAATGCTTTTAAATCTCAAATTTTTAGAAGTAACTATGTATAAAGATTCAGATTTGGTACAGATTTAAAAGAGATTTTTACAAGACAACAGAATCTCATGGATTTTCAAAAGAAAACCCCCCAAAACTACATTGTTTATATCTTAACTTGTCTAGTGTTAAATTATGGTTAGATAATTTAAAATTACATACATTTGGTACTCGAGAAGATCATCAACACAACAGATTAAATAATAAACAGCAGGTAATTATAGTCTTGTAAAATTTGTACATATCTGATTTTATAGAGCAGTGATGCAGAAGTATTGAAGGAAATCAGATTATGGTGTCTGCTGCTTCTGTAGTCACATTTCTGCAGGAAAAATTTGGTTAAAAAACTAAGACACCACAGATGTGCCTATTGAAGCAAAAGATCTGACATGGTGGTCATCTGATCATAAACAATATCATAGTTGGACACAATATTTTCTTTATTGAGTGCATTATACAATCCTTAATTGTATTTAATAGTGCTATATACTTACAGTCTTGTTTGATCTTGTGATTGTCAATAACAAATAATACCAAATATTTCAGGTGGATATAGAGTCTAAAGAAGCCAGTGACGGTAACAATTGTAAAACAACAGATACTGAACCATGTATTCCTCAGATAGATAATACATCATCATCAGTAATAGAATCATCAGTATCAATGTCATCAGCAACATCAACAGAACATCCACTTCAATCTAAAAGTTTAGAAGAAAATGTCAATTCATCAGTGTCAGAAGGTCAAAACATTGAAAATACAACTTAAGAACCATTACAAGCATTATAATATTTTACTTCAGTAATATGGACTTACGTTCATTCCATTCAGAATTTTTTTTTATCCAATTCTTAAACAATTTATACTCCCACATTATGGAGGTGTGAACTATGAATGTATATTGTCCACAATAGAGGCCAGAATTTGTATCCATGTATATTACTGATTTTTTTTCAATGAATATATCAATTATTTCCCCAGACTTGGCAAAATTTGTAAGAATTTGTTTCTGAGCGTAATAGAGGATACAATTTTGACTGCTTTTGATGAGACTTGGTATGCATATTTATGTAGTTGAGATGAGTTTGATCATTTTGGTGTTTTAATTAACAAAATCATGATCATGTCAATACAAGGCTTGGTACAATTTAAATTAATGTAATTTGTGATAAACGATTTGTGAGCTATTTCACCTTACCTCAGTGCAAAATTGACTTGTATATAATATACATGGGTGCTGTAATCGTTTCTCTGATCTTATTGATACCATTATTAGAAAATTTATTTCAAATAGGAAATTTCAAAACCATATTATTGTATAAACAAACTAAAAAATTTTTTTAAATTTTTGATTAAATATACTTACATCCACATTTCAATAATTCTAGCTTTTGGACCAGAGTTCTTATAAGTCATTATAGGTATAGCATCAACATCTTTCAAGCCCCACAGGGAGCTGTGGTGGCTCAGTGAGTTAAAACACTTAATTGCTAACCTGAAGGTCCATGGTTCAATCCTTTCATAAGTCGAGATAATCCTTTGGATAAAGTCTTTGAATACAATATATAGACACAGCTTTATGGAACAAC